CGATTGGCGGCAACTGGTAGGTGGATCATTCCCCGTTATATGCAGTCTCGGAGGCACGAGAAATAAACCCGCCACCAACACACCGGCACCCGATTTTTCTTAACCACCACCAGTTCCATTTGAGAGCAGTTGGTAGATAGCTATTTAATTCTGAGCACCACCGCCGATGGTGATGGTGACAACTAATACACACCAATAACAATGATGCGCGTCGAACTATAGTGGTCAGTACCTTCCACAATGAACCATGAGCGGTTGAAGGTGGTAGAAAATAGTTTGCAACCATTGGAAAAAAATCGTCTAAACATCAATTATCACCCTGTCCCATTTGACCACCAGCACACATTTTTGATTTCAAACCATAATTATGTCGTATTCTCACGTAGCTCACCACCATCCTTGAATTCGTCGACAGTGCTATTTTTGTAGCCGCCGTTCCTGGTGGTGGTGGCAAGTGACTAAAAACCCAACCGTCTAGACGGCAAAATTGATTTGTTTATGTACGCGACTGATAGCTACAAACACCTCTCCACCGCCATCCAGCCATCATCAGTCTGGCCAGATCGGTTTAAGATCCATCTTCATAGCTTTTTGGATGTGCCTTTTTCGCATTACTTGCTTTCGATTTTTCCTCACTTTTCCATTCAAGGATGATGAGCGACGGCGATGACTATGGCTAATGGCACACGATGAGAAGGCATGAATTTTCCTGTAAACAATAGAGTACTCGGTGTATGTGTGTGTTTTTGATGTGGACAAATTTCGTCATTTTCTTCCGACAACAGCTGGATGACGACGAGTCCTTTTAGAAGGATTGCCGTCGTACTAGTTGTAAGTAAGCATGGCACACTCATTTAGCGTCTGTTGTCGGTCGATCAACCGGTGGCAATGACCTCTGAAGAAAATGATAAAATTGTGGTCGTACATGGAAACGGCTCAACGTTCCCGGTGGCAGTGCCCGGAAAAAAATAACAATACAATTACCATAAAATAAAATACAATTACATCAAAATATATTGCCAATAATCGATCTTATTGTCTGTATATTGTACAAGAGATTTTAGCATATTGTTATTTCAATAGATTTACAATACGTTCCATATAGTAAGAATTTTCAACAATAGAACAACAATACAATTAATGGTGAATGGTTCATCTTTTTTTGTGAAAAAGTGATTTTTCTTATTGTTAATATACATAACAACCCCCTTGCTCTATTGTAGATTTACTCATTTACCATAGATTATATAGTGAAAATAATACATTTTATGGTTATTTTATCGTTGTATACAATATGATTTATTGTAAATACAATAAATTCTATTGTATGGTTACAATACATTTCATTGTGCATTTATGGTTCTTTTTTATACGGGTGGCCTTGCCTGTTTTATTATTTACTGCCCTAGCGTTGTTTTCATCAGTAAAGATATTTATTCAGAAATTCCATAGAAAAAAAGTTAGAGTAGATCTTAGAATTTCGTATTTATTGGTATTTTAGTTCCTTATCGAAACATCACCATTAGAGTGGCCTCTTATATGTTAGGGTGGTCCGAAAAATCAGCATTTTTCCTAATATTGATTTTCACCGGACAGATTTTTGGATCAAAAAGTAAAATGAAAGATTACTTAATCCATCCAATCAACACACAAGATTTATATCTGCTTATGTAACCGTTATTTGACAGGTTTTGGAAATAAAGAAGATTACTTAACTTAAATACAAGAAACTGTGCTATTTGGGTAGGTTTTAGGAAAAATATGAATAACGATATAAATCGTGGTTCTACATTGAGAAAAAATGAAGATTATAATCGATTTCTATTAATTCGTGGTCGTAGAACCAAAGGGTCTATTGTATGTTATATTTTTTGTTGAAAATTTATACATTTCTACAATACATATAAAAAATTCAGCGTTTCCGAGCTACAATTTTTCAAAAATATTTAGTTTCGAATAAAGGATACTCATGGCAACATAAAATTTTGAACGCAGAAACGAACAAAACAAACATCGATGCATTTTTTCTTCGTAGCAGAAGAAAGTTAAAAATTTCACGCCAAATGACGAATTGGAAAAAGTCGACCTTCTCCGATACGTATAAAACTTTGCATAATTGTGTGATATGAGCAATCATTCACATTTTACAAAAAATCGGGCTTTTTGGATGTTGTATATTTTTCAAAATGGCGCCTTTGTAATTTTTCAATAAATTGTAGCATCAAAACGTCACTTTTGAATGACGTCTGAGACAAAGTTGTAGAGAAAAATCTTTTCTGGGAGAATACACATGGTATATTTTTTGATTAAGCAAACATTAAAAAAGTGTTAAAAGCTCAAATATCTCAAAAAGTTCACATTATATTTAATAAAGGCTCATCAAAAATACAATCCTTTGGAATATTTAAAGCCATGGAGTCTAAAAAAATTACAAACTTCATTGAACAAGAAATTTTGGGCGATTATTTCAAAATTTTTACTAGTACGCTTTTTACGTAATTTCTGAACAGGAAACAACATTTGAGGTATTCTAAATCGTTTTCTGTGCAAATATTACAAAAATAGACACCACGCCGCCGCCACTATCATTTCTTTACACGCCACCACCACCACCACCGCCAATGATTTTGATTTGGTGATCATTTTTGGCACGCCACCGGTATAATTTTCAATACGCCGGCGATGTAAATTGAAGCCTTTCGCCTTTCGCTTCTTAATTTTACAAAAAGTATTTCTCGAAACTACAAATATTTGATATTAAAGGAATAAACTTTCATTAGTGGAAAAAGTGCCTAGGACCATGATGGTAAATATTGAAGAGGCTGAAGCCAGAAAGAGGCCACAAGTCAAAATTGGACCAATCGGTTATTTTTTATAGTCATGACCAAAGTCATTCTTTTCAAGCAGACAACCTGCCAAATGGATAAGATGTTACCTCTGTACCCAATTGGGTTGTTTAGAGGTATTGATATACACATATTCGTTATCTGCATTAAAAATAAAACCGAAATCCAAAATTTCATCAATTTGGGTACACTGGAACAATTTTAAATAAGTACGATTACATTAGCAAAAAATCACCATCTTAGTGCCCTTTGGTGGGACTTTGTATGGAGCTGTCAACGAATAGATTTAGTGTCAACGATCAAACATTTAAATCCTGATTAAAAAATCGGGGGCGACCCCGGCGTAGTGGTTAACATCCATACCTCTCACGCCAAAGTCACGAGTTCAAATCTCACCCCCGGACAAGTCACGAATGACCCAAGAGTGTTAAAGTGACAATAATAAAAAAAAAAAAATTAAAAAATTGAGATGATAAAAAGATCGTTGTGTGTGCGTGTGTGTGTGTGTGTGTGTGTGTGTGTGTGTGTGTGTGTGTGTGTGTGTGTGTGTGTGTGTGTGTGTGTGTGTGTGTGTGTGTGTGTGTGTGTGTGTGTGTGTGTGTGTGCGTGCGTGTGTGTGTGTGTATGTGTGTGTGCGTGTGTGTGTGTGTATGTGTGTGTGTGTGTGTGTGCGCGCGTGTGTGTGTGTGTGTGTGTGTGTGTGTGTGTGTGTGTGTGTGTATGTGTGTGTGTGTGTGTGTGTGTGTGTGTGTGTGTTTGTTTGTTTGTTTGTTTGTTTGTTTGTTTGTTTGTTTGTTTGTTTGTGTGTGTGTGCGTGTGTGTGTTTTTTTTTTTTGGGCGGGGAAGAAACTTTCAAAAGCCATTATGCAACCGCTTGACGACGGGGCGCACGGCGTGGGATTCTTACCGCACTAAAACCTCCTTGGACGCCTTTCCCTTTTTTCCCCGGAACCACTTGTCGTATTACTTCGGAGGGGACTGTGCATTACACACCTCACTTTATCTCAGCTAACTGGCGCATCCACTTCGCTGATCATCTCTCCAATTTGTGATGCAATTGTGTGAGCACATTAGTACTTTCTAGCTGGTCTTCTCGCTAATTTCGCTTCAGCGCTGACATGATCTACGTTACTGCTCTGCTGACGGCGTTAAAGGTGCCCTCCTCTCGACACATTTCTTCGACGAAATTCTCCACAGCGGCGTCGGTGGTGTAGTGGTAAGCGTGATTACCTCTCACCCCAGCAGGCCTGGGTTCAATCCCAGTCGGCGCCGCCGGGATGTTCTGAGGCATAACATCTCTGATCACGCCTTCCTTCGGAAGGGAAGTAAAACCGTTGGTCCCCGGTTCATAAGTTGATGGGTCGATAGGTATGGTCCAGGTGTGGGAGCTGCCTCCCTGACGTCGGTAGCATTGGTGCTCAGCACGGAAAACAAGATCGACGGAAAACAAATCCAGGAAAAAAAAAGACATTCTCCGCGCTAAGAGTGAGCATATCCTCTCGCACAGCATCAAATCTAGGACATTCTAAGACCACGTGCTCTGGTGATTCTTCCATATTCCCACACTCTAGGCAGAAGGGTGACGTTGTGTGTCCGAACCGATGCAGGTACTTCCTGAAGCAGCCATGACCAGACAGGAACTGCGTCAAGTGGAAGTTGACTTCTCCATGCTTCCTGTTCACCCAGGTCGAAAGAATCGGTATTAGCCTGTGTGTCCATCTACCGTTCTCTGCTGCATCCCACTCCTGCTGCCACCGTTCTCACCATTTTTCGTACTCCTCTGGTTTCTATTGTCATATAGCACTCGTAATCCTCCGCCAAGGTGAGGTCGATTGGGATCATACCGGCGAAAACGCATACTGCCTCCATCGAAATGGTTCTGTACGCACTCACGACTCGCATGGTCATGAGCCGGAACGTACTGCTCAATTTCCTTTGGTTCTGCTTCATTTTCAGCGCTTCAATCCAGGCTGGACCTCCGTACCTTAGTATCAATGAGGATACACTAGCCAGAAAACGCCTCTTGCTGCTGCTTGGACCAGAATTGATCGGCATGATTCTGGCTATTGCGTTGATGACCTTCGCCGCCTTCTCGAAAGCATATTCGATGTGGCTGTTGAAGTTTAGCCGGTCGTTGATCATCACTTCCAGATACTACAGCACGCGCTTCGAAACAATGGTGATTTCTGCCCGCTGCACTGCTTTACAGTTACTGACCAACATCACTTCTGTTTTGTGGTGGGCTATCTGCAGCTTCGCTCCTTGCATCCAGGTAACAATCCTATCTATCGCCGCGGCCGCCAGCATTTCCACTTCTTCGAGCGTCTCACCGGTTACCTTCAAGACGACATCCCAAGCAACACGGCTTGTCACAATGAAGTTGAAAATACTTTTCAATGACTTACGTATAGAATCAATAATGCTTTAATTTACATCATTTAATACATTTATACAACCTAAAAAGCGCAACTTATAAAACTAAATACTGGTCTTATAACATGTTTTGGAAACACCATAAAAACCAGTGGCAAAAAATTAAAAAAAAAATGAGCATGGGATTCGAACACAGGTTCTTGGCGTGAAAGACTTATTTCTTCCTAACTAGACCAACTTCGCTTGATAAAAGTTTTATAATAAGTATCTATCATGTTCTTCCCAATGGCATGAACATTATATTATCGTGCATGCTTCGATCTGTCATAAAGAATGTTTGTAAGCAGCAATGCGTACATTTAATTGCCAGAGTGATATTTAAAAGTATTTTCAACTACTTATAAGACATACTGCACCTTTTCAATTGCATTAATTTATGGGATGTCATAAAAGAGTGTTTTCTCAACTCTCTTTATAACCTCCTTAAAACCTCATAATAAACTGTCAATCACTGCGTGAAGTGGCAGTCCGGCTCAATGGCGCCGTCAATGTCCACGTCAATGTGGAAAGTGCAAAATCTCTTCAAGAGCTTTATAAATTCAACTAAGATTGATTTTGCATACGACAGTGGTTTTATAGCGGTATTAAAACAGTAAGATGCACGTTTAAATAACATTTAAAGTTAAAAGCCTCCCTTGGCTCAGTCGGTAAAGGCGCAGCTACAAAGCAAGACCATGCTGGAGGTGACTGGGTTCAATTCCCGGTCCAGTCCAGGAATTTCTCGGGTTGGAAAATGGAATTTCTCGACTTCCCTGGGCATAGAAGTATGATTGGACTTGCCACAAAATTATACCAATGAAAAAATGGTACACAGGCATCGAAAGCTCTCAATCAATAACTATGGAAGTGCATCTAGAACACTAAGTTGAGAGCACGCAATAAGCTAATATGCGATATGCAATAAGCTTGAAATGCGAAGAAGAAGAAGAAGAAAGTTAAAAGCAAAAGAAAACTATTTTGGAATATGTTGAAGTATGAAGAAAACATCTTTAAACCTCATATAAAACATGTGATGTTTTATGCATCACTTATAGAGCATGCATGAGCATGATTGACCGCCCACGGTTGCTACTCTGTTATTGCCAGACCAGCAGGTATTACACAGAGAACCAATAGACGATGCTTGGGACTAGCAATCATCCTCAATGTGTAAAAACTGGTGATCTCGAATTAGGCAATACCAGCGCCAGCCGCGCCTGAACGCAGGTCAAGAAAGGAATGGGTAGGAATGTGTTGACGTGACACTCGCTTTGATGGAAGCCGAGGAGTCCTCTGCACTTCCACAAGGAATCACAGGGATGTTGGGTAAGAGGGTTGGGTTAGCAGCAGGGTTCGTTTTGGTAAACGATAAGCTGAATTGATGTCCTAACAATCGTATAACGCGAAGGAGCTTGGGATTGAACCCACGGTCTTCTGCTCAGTAAGCAAAAACGTTTGCCACTAGGCAGATGAGCTCCTTTTTAATCATTGACGAATCTTGAATGTGGATGGGCTTGTGGTTAGACTCATGATGTTCTGCTCAGTAAACAAAAACGGCAAAAACTGAGAGGCTCGGTGGCCTTAGGCCTCTCAAATCACATTATAGCGTTACTCAAGTTTTTATAACTATTCAAACCCGGCACCGACGACAACGAAAAGTTTTACAAAATACACGATAAACAAGCGATCTTACCATGCATTTTTAATATGAAAGGATCTGGGACCGCGTTTTTCTGCTCAGTAAGCAAGCCACTGCAACCGACGATCTTTGAAATCCTAAAACTAAAAGCTACGAAAGAGAACTTAGGCCTTCATTAAGATCCACTTTCACGCGACGTTTAATGTTTCGATTTTCTCTTTACGCATGGTTCAGACAATCATATCAAGCTATGACCGACGTGACGATTGTTTAGGACCTGGTTAAACAAGCTATTCAAATGAAATTACGTTCTCAAATTTCACTTGGAATGTAATGAACAACAGAAATACGCGATAATTCATATTTTCAGCGGTTGATGTTTAATTTTAAATATACTAACGGTACTGCCTACGACTACGACGGCGATTACGACAGCGACTACGACGGCGCCTACGACAACGACAACAGAGAATTTGTAACTTACCATTTGTCTAGGATAAACACCTTTGCCCGGCACCTCCACTGGTTCTTCATGTCCGCTATCGCTATCTGTCACTGTTTGCAAAATATCTAATAGCAATTACCTTTGTTGTAAAACTTTCTGTATTGCCATGGTGATCTGGGAGGAGGTTCGCATCTAGTGCTTTCCCCAGGAACCGTTCACAGCCACCAGCTACCGCCCGTCCAGTCTTGGGCGTATCCAGCGAGACATCCTTCAGCTTACTCACAATCTCCGTCACTCGATGCAAATCGCAGGCACACATACGCTAGTTACAAAAAAAAAACACACCCGCGCAAAAAACGGATCCAATAAACGTCACTCTTGCGAAAGCACACCCGTCGTCGTCGAACGGCAAAAAAAGGAATCGGTGGGCAATTTTGTGATACGGATTTCCAAAATCAAACGGGAATGCACGAATTTCACAGTTCTCAATACGGTAAACAAGATCCACGGAAAAAGAATCAAGGAAAAAAAAGATAATGTATTTTCAAGTGATTTTATAGCTCACATAGATGAATGGACAGAAACAGAAGAGTAAAAAATAAAGAAGAAAGAAGTTTTCAACTGTTATCGTTTATTAAATTTGGAAAACTTAAATCATACCTTATACTAGTTTGAGTAATCCTAGAGTTCGTTTGCATTAATTGTACGCTGTAAACACATTTTTTAAATATCTTGAGGGATAGAACGGTTCTAAATAGAGTAGTAGCATTTTATTCAGTAATGCTATGATTATGTTTGCCTACTGGCAAGGATGGAAAGCGAAAACGATATGGCATATTATAAAACGATGTTAATATGATATGCTTTGAGCCTATTTCTATATAAATAACACTTCATAGACATGCAATGCAGTAATTGAGTTGTTTAAGGTTTCTGAGGTATTCAAAATCTGCATTAAAAATGGGACCGAAATGCAATATGTCATCAATTTTGGTGCTTGAAACTTTTTCAAATAAGTACGATTGCATTAGCTAAAAAACACCAAATTAGCGCTCCCGGGTGGGATTTTGTATGAGAGTAGTCTGGCGACTAATAGATTTAGTGTCAAAAATAAGAAAATTAACTTAAGGTACGAAGGCAAGAAGTAAGTCAATAATGTTACTGACAACAGCTAACGCTAATCCAAGAGCTAACAGTGCAGTTTGAAGAGCTGTTATACCCAATGTTAAAAATGTATCAGCCAAAGAAAATATAACCGTTGGTACTAGAATGGCAGTAAGTAACAGTGTGTTTACGATTTGTGTTAAAATTCCTACTATAGAGATTAAAGAAGCGGCAACGACGAGCAAACCCACTGGCCCTGCATCGATCGGAAAGCAATCTACAACGATCCGGGTTGCCAGCGTACACTTGTCATAGCACTTGCCGCGAAGTCTGTCGATGCACTCACTCGCATTCCGTTTGAAGGTTTCCTCATCTATGCTATATCCCCCGCACTGAACATACATCCGGTCGAGGTCGGGTCCACTGGCGTCGCTGTATAATCCTTTCCTGATCAGCATGCAACGCATCAGGCAACGGGATCGATCCGATACGTCAAAATGGTTCCGTGCGAAATATTGCAACTCTGTATGGTTAACCTGCAACATCTGGGCGCACTGTTCGATGGTACTGCTGATCTGCAATTTTGACAGCGGAACAAGCTGGGGCGTCCCGATCAGGTTACCCCATTGATCCCGGTAGCAGCGCCAATATACCGATGCTTTGCAGCAAACAGCTTCACTCGAAACATTTTCCAAACCAGCATCGAGACAGCGCAGAGTACGATTCAGGTAGTTCTTGTCATTGCGATCCGGTTGAAAATGGCGACTGTATGGGACGTACAGCAATCCGGAGCAGTCATCCCAGGAATGTAACGCTATCGCTTCACAACGGGATTGACATAGTCCGTCCGAGTCGTCCAACGGTGGGAGGTACTGTTTGCATTCCAACTTGGCACGTTGGAAACTCTTCAGAACAAGATTTCCTTGAGCTGATGCTTCTGCTGTGAAAACCGCTAGCAACCAAAGCAAACCGACGATTAATTGAGGAGTGGTCATCCTTAATCCAAGTAGTTGAAAAAACTGTGGATGTTTGGTGAAGCCGTAGACCTTTTTATACACGTTAGTAATTCCGAGTTGAGATAGCTCCAGCAATACGTGCGGTATCTGTAATGGCCATTCTTGTCGTTATTTCGCACGTTCCCTGCCAAGGTAATGGTATTGTTTTATTTGTGTGGTTTTCAGCAGGAAGTCCCGCGTAGAAAATAACCGTTTCTAAATCAGTGCAAACATTGTCTACTCCTTACCAGCAATGTTTACTTTATTCAAAAATAGTTCAGATTTGTTTCATGAAATATCATTCACCTTAATGTAACATTACTTTCTAATGTTACAGTTCCTGATACACTCCCGAAGCATTTTGTTACGGTTCATTAACCATATTAAACTGTTATCTAAGATTACGAGTAAAAGTTGTAAACAATTTGTACAATAAGCATCCTTCAGCATTTTCAAAAAACCGTTGCCTCCCAAGAGTCAAGATACTGGAGTGCATTCAACTGCATTCAGTGACGCTCATAGGCACGAAAAAAAAGTATACCTTATCAGGCTCGTTTAGTGTGACCTTTTCAGAAAAGGCATTACCTGACTACGTCACAATTGGGAAGGTTCGACTACCTGTACGCTTGTTTGTACCGAGGCTAATAAATTGCTTCAAAAGCAAACAACTAGATCACACCGCAGACTATTGCTCCAACAAACCGCGCTGCGATCAATGTGGAGAGGTGCATACGGAAGGTCCTTGTCGTGCTGCCCCAAAATGTGTTTACTGCAAGGAAACTCCGCATGCTCTGAGTGACTGCCCGAAGTACAAACAGCAGAGAGAAAAACTTAAGCGGTCTTTGGAAGCTCGCTCTAAGCGTTCACTAGCAGAAATTTTGAAAATGAACGGCAGCCTAAGGGTTTCAAAGGATTTGTAGAATGGACAAGGGTTCGTGGATTTGCCAGTCCCTTGTCTTCCAAAGGTCTCCAATGAAGTTGATTAGCCCTGCCTGCTGCAACAAACCATCAGGCAGAACTTTACAACCAGTGAAGTATCTGCAGTCGTAGGTAATCCTTGCACTGATGGTGGGTTCTATTCACATCATCACATCAATCGGATATCAGTCCCATCCTGAAATTCAATCGTCCAGATCAAGTTACAGTTCTGCTTTTTGAATTGTCATATTTTTCGCTGATATAAAAAAACATGCTTAACATGATTTTAACTTGAAAATATTATCAATTAATTTCTTATGATTTTTCAAATAATAACATGGGAATTTCACTTCGTAACTTCGACTACCATTGTCTCAATGTCTGCTTTTTCCATATAAAACTGATATGCAATTAAAGGCAGTACAGCTGTTATTGAAAATTCTATTTAACTGATGAATTTTACAATATTATTACTCTGCCTCCCGGACGGTTATACGTGTAAATTTGTAGCATCACGAGGGATAATTTTAATTTTAGTTTATTTATGCGGTGATGATGTTGGTTCACTCGCAACTATTTTTTGAAAAAAAAAAAATTGTTTTCGAACGAAAGTGTACCAAAAGTGCTTCTGAACGTGTTTTGTAGTTGGGTGTGGTGAAATTCGTGCATTCCCGGTTGATTTTGGAAATCCGTATCAAAAAATTGCCCACCGTTTCCTTTTGTTTTGCCGTTTGACGACGACGGGTGTGCTTTCGCGATAGTGACGTTTATTGGATCCGTTTCATTGCACGGGTGTGTGTTTTTTTGTAAATAGCGTATGTGTGCCTGCGATTTGCATTGAGTGTCGGAGATTGTAAGTAATCTGAAGGATGCCTCGCTGAATACGCCCAAGACTGGATGGGATGTAGCTGGTGGCCGTGAACGGTTCCTGGGAAAGCACTAGATTCGACCCTCCTCCCAGATCACCATGGTAATACAGGAAGTATTACAACAAAGGTAATAGCTATTAGATATTTGCAAACAGTGACAGATAGCGGACATGAAGAACCAGTGGAGGTGCCGGGCAAAGGTGTTTATCCTAGACAAATGGTAAGTTACAAATTCGCTGTTGTCGTTCTCGTAGCCGCTGTCGTAGTCGCTGTCGTAACCGCCGTCGTAGTCGGAGGCAGTACCGTTAGTATATTTAAAATTAACCACCAACCGCTGAAAAAATGAATTACCGCGTATTTCTGTTGTTCATTACATGCCAAGTGAAATTCGAGAACGTAATTTCATTTGAATAGCTTCACGGCGAATGAGAGCGACCCAGGTTTGATTTTGGTTCACTCATGGTCGCCAGGGGTGCGGGAGCTCAGCGATGAGTGGGTTTGTCTCATGGTTTCCTGTGGAAAACCTAAAAAATCTGCCGGAAAATGAAGAAATTGACGAAAATTTTATTCAGCCTCGGAGTAGTACCAATAGACTGAGATAATCCAATCTTTACTTTTCTCGGATTCGGGAATTTTTTTTTCCTGGAAATCCTGGAAAAACCTGGGAAAACATGAGACAAATATTAGCTTAATTACTGAGCAGAAAAACGCGGTCCTAGGTCCTTTCATATTAAAAATGTATGGTAAGATCGCTTGTTTATCGTGTATTTTATAAAACTTTTCGTTGTCGTCGGTGCCGGTGGCCTTAGACAACCGGTTTTGCTTACTGAGCAGAACATCATGAGTCTAACCTCAATCCCATCCACATTCAAGATTCGTCAATCGTTTTATTTGTTAACATGACTACATGGTAATAACAGCAACTCGATGATTAAAAAGGAGCTCGTCTGCCTAGTGGCAAACGTTTTTGCTTACTGAGCAGAAGACCGTGGGTTCAATCCCAAGCTCCTTCGCGTTATATGATTGTTAGGACATCAATTCAGCTTATCGTTTACCAAAACGAACCCTGCTGCAAACCCAACCCTCTTACCCAATATCCCAATATCCTCGTGGAAGTGCAGAGGTGTTCTCGGCTTCCATCAAAGCGAGTGTCACGTCAACACATTCCTACCCATTCCTTTCTTGACCTGTGTTCGGGCGCGGCCGGCGCTGGTATTGCCTAGTTTGAGATCACCAGTTTTTACACATTGAGGATTCCATTAGTACCGTCCCAATTACGCGTTCATCTAGATAAAACTGATAAAAAAGCAGATTTGTAGCTATGGGCCTAATCTTAAACCCATAGGCCAACATTAGAGCCATTTCCCCATCAATGAGAATTTTCGGTCACTCCTAACCCCATTCACTGTGCAATTTCACTGATTCTGGCCAATCACGGAGTAGCAACCATTGATTTGTGGAGTCAGTCTAAGCCGTCTAAGCATGTCTGATGCAGAGAAGCAAGCTACTGATTTAATTTTCAGATCTGTATGACAAGGTTGCAAATACTCATTTCAGCTAAAAAAATGTTTTTTTTTTTAAATTATGAAATATATTGGATAATCCAAAGCTATGTTGATCATTATAACATTACATTTTGAATAACAAATGATAAGACAATCTTATTAAAATGTCGTAATAATACCTCTGACCAAGGAAAAATGATTTATATAATTTTCATAAAAGTTGACGATACAAATACTAATGAGGAAAGGAATTCCGAATTTCCTTTTCCCAAGTCCTTTTCCTCTCCTTCCCTTCCCTTCTTCTCTTTTCAGAAAGCGAGTAATGGCGCTATAACCATATGCCATATAGGGCTAGGACAAGAGTTAGTGCTCAGGTCCCAACCGCTAGAAGAAAATGGTAGCGAGCAAGGGCGCTATAACCTAGGCGAATACAGCATTCCCTCCGTATAGGTTACGTCCGCACACCGCTCTCTGTTGTCCTTCGACTGAGGTCGGCTGGATCGATTGAGGGATGGCAGTGGGTTGGCGGTGCCGTCCACGCTTGTACGGAGGGAGGACTGTACGCTCGAACACAAGGGGTAAATACCTGTGTTCCATCCCACGAGATCGGACAACCAAGGAGTGTACATTAACTTTCTTAGCTCTGTCACTCCCAACGATTTATATAGCCTATTTTCAAATCCTGCATACGGAGCGGTTGGTACGGTATGTCCCCGCTCTTTGATTACCTGTGGATTAAATGTTAACCACTGTCTATACTTATTAAGTAGACATGGTAAACATTCACTTCCACAAAAATTAACTAAACGCTACACAGTAGGCCTGGCCGCTTTATTGTTTGTTTCACATCCTTGATGTGCAGCAGGCATTAATAATGACAAGAAAAATGATAGATGTATCATTTTCCAGGATTCTTTCAAGTACTGGCTGTGTATGTGTAGACTAGACTAGACTAGACTAGACCAGTTTTTACACATTGAGGATGATTGCTAGTCGCAAGCATCGTCTATTGGTTCTCTGTGTAATTACAGCTGGTCTGGCAATAACAGAGTAGCAACCGTGGGCGGTCAATCATGCTCATGCTCATGCTCATGCGTTGAACTAACGATTATTGTTTATTTGTTTTGATTAACACATTTTAGGTCATTCGTGACTAAACCAAGGTGAGATTTGAGATAAAATCTCTCAGCGTGAATAGCATGGATGCTAACCATTTACGCCAGGCCCGGATTCAGTTAAACAGGATTAGTTTTCCGTTTGATTCCACAGTGTCAATTTTGCTCTCATTTTTGCTGTGTTAACCGTTAAGTCAACCAAAATGAGATCAAATGGAGTATTGAAAATAAGTTACATTATAACAGCAAATTCTGATATCAATTTGATCTCTAACTTTGCTCGGGTTGCCAGTCAAAATTTCTATTACTAATGGTTCATCTTCGACTCGCTCGGTTGACATCGACTAGCAAAAATTCGCGGTCGCGGTTCTTGGTGTTAGTGAATCGGTGGAGGTACTCAATCCGCTGGTGGTGGTGGGATAAGGAATGTTCCGACGCGTAAAAAGTCCGCCGCGTTTAAACACTTCCGTAAACACGGTACGGTAGGACATTTCGAGCGATACGTGGGCCTTGAGAGAACATTTAAGTGCTTAATCAAAGCCAAAAAACGTGGTTACTGGCGTCGGTTCGTCGGAGGTTTCCATGAGAACGCTCTGGAATGTCGGCCGGAGAATGCAAAACG